CTCTGCTCAGCCATTTGTCCCTGTCGTCCGCCCCCCCCTCCCCCCCCCCACCTCCGCCTGCCCACCCACCACTTCCTCCTAAAAAAGCAACTGGCAGCGTTAAGCGTGACTGCAGACTGCGGGGCCTTTTGTCAACACACGTGCCGTGAAGCGTGCCCTCGGCCCTTCTGGTCAAGCCCAGTTTGACACCTCTCCCTTGACGCTGGCTGCGGAGTGACACTTCACATGGCAGCTGGTTGGGCAGCGTCCATGGCAGACCCGCTGGTACTGCGTCATTGCCATGCCTGAGGGCCCGCAGCAACATCTGTCCTCACAATTGGCGATGGAGCCGAGCCAGCCGAACGCATTCATGCCACTGGACGGCACCGTCGCTCAGCTGAGCCATCACCCTCTTCCCCTCTTCCTCTCTCTCTCTCTCCCGTCTTTATCGCTAGCCCCTCCTCAATGCGGCTCAATGGCGAGCTATTAGGGAAGACAGTGGACTGTAATTTCCTCTTCATCGATTAGCGACTATCTGTAGCGGATAGAAAAGAACCGAGTGGTTTGATTGAGACGTATGAAACCTGTCCTGTTCCGTAAACATTTTACAGGATCGTAACCTGGATTTCAACTGGTCATTTTCACTGCAGTCGTGAACCTCAATGAAAACAGTATTACTTACTGCACAGTAACCATGTGCATTTTTTTTTTAAATCAACATTTTTATTAAATCAGTTTTTTTTTTTATGTTTAAACCAGGGGTGTCAAACTCATTTTCACCAGGAGGGGGAGTCCACATCCGCAATTCAGTTCCCCTCAAAGGGCCGGTTGTAAGTGGAAGACTGTGTAAATGTGACTATGTGACTAATGTGGCTGTGTAGTAAAAAAAAAAAAAATTTTAAGCTCTCACGGGCCATACAAAATGACTGGGCGTGCCGCATTTGGCCCCCCGAGCCTTGAGTTTGACGTGTGTTTTACAGGATCGTAACCTGGATTTCAACCCTTCATTTTTTACTACAGTCATGACCTCAGGTGCTCAATGAGAACAGTATTACTTACTAAGATACAGTATCTGCACGGAGGCATGGTTGCCATTTTTTTTTATCAACATTTTTATGACGCGCTTTTATGACGTTTTGTAATGTTTACACCGGGGCTGTCGAACTCATTTTCAATTTATCAGGTTAAGAAACTCTACTGCATGGATTTTATTAAAGCTTTTTTAAGGTCTAGCGGGCCGTACAAAATGACTTGGCGGGCCGCATTTGGGCCCCCGAGCCTTGAGTTTGACAGGATCGTAACCTGAATTCTTTTTAATAAAATCATTAGGTCGCGCAGTGTTTTTAATATTTAAACCGAATTTTTTTTTTTTTTTTTTTTCTTTTATACTCGGCCCGACGGCGGCAGTTTGCCGAGTCTCCATTCTCAAAAATTTAACTTTCTCCTGCCGACTTTTGTTATGAAAACCCCTCTCCGCACCAGCTTCACCTGCCCTTGGAGTTATCTCCATGTTGGATGTGGACAGACGTGACAGTTTATATCCACTGACAATGATCAGTAGTTCTCCAGCTAGTACGTTGACCTTTGTGTCACAACCCCGCTGCTGATGCTAAGTTGCGATGTTACAATTATTTACAACTCGAGCCTCTGACTGTACGGAGCGGTTTGCCAATAAAACTTTAGTTTTAACCGTAGTGGTCATCGCCGTAAACCTTTCCAGTTGTAAACCATGTTTATAGATAAACATTTTATGTTATTATTTCCATTTTGCGAACGTAGTTCTGCAGCACACACTGTCTCATAGAGACAAAAAAAAAAAAAAAAAAAAAAAAACGAGGCTAGACTGGAACTGAGATGTGTATACAGTAAACCCTTGTTTTTCGCGGGGGTTACGTTCCAAAAAGAACCCGTGAGAGGCAAAATCCGTGAAGTAGAAATCTTTATTTTTTTTTACAATTAAATACTCAGAAAAAGAAGAGAAAGAACGAACAAACCATTTTAGTTGCAACCCTTTTTGAATCCTTATTAAAACTTATCGCTGCTGTCTTCCCTATGTTTTTTTCTTCCTTCTTTATGGAACGAACGGAAGATTCATTAATTCCATAATGCCGACCTACAGCCGCATAGCTTTTACCTTCATTTAGCATGTCCAATAGTTTTACTTTATCACCGATAGGCAGCATCTTCCGCTGCCTTTTGGTCCCTACCGCAGGTACTTTTGCCGGTCCGGAGCGTTTTGTCGACATTATGGGGTTTGATAAACTCGAAATTGCAAGAGAATTTGCACGTACGTAATGTCAATTTGGCAAGCTGTTTTACGTACGTGTACGTATTAAACCGCAACGTTATTGGCGCACAGGAAGAGAAGAAGCGGAGTGACTTTTTAGCCAATCAGAATGCAGAACACAATGCACGATGCAAATCCGTGAAGTAGCGAAACCGTGAAAAGTAAACCGCGTTATAGCAAGGGATCACTGTACATTATTTTTAAGACTGGTTGCCCAACTCGTCAGTTTTACTAATTGACTTCATTCAAAAAGAATCCAGTCATATCCCTTTATTTATTTATTTATTTAATTTAAAAGATAATCTGACAATGTTATTCCAACTCTGATACTCACAGATTAAAGTCTAAAAGATGAAAGTGAAGGCGAAAAGATGATTTACATTTCAAATTTAGACTTTTAATGTCATATTTTTTTTTTCATGACATATAAAGATGTTTTTTTTTTTATTTTGAACATTCATTGATCCTTCAACGATGGCGCGATATTACCGGTCCGCAGTAACGGTCTGGTTGGGGACCGCCTGCTTACTCGGTTCAACTTCAGCACAGTGCCCCCCCTACTGGACAAAATGTGTGTATGACACGTTAAAGCCTGAATTATAGGCCCCCCCTTTAGCCTACCATAGACAAGACTGTGTTTTATTACAGCCACAATGGAAGCTGGTGGAGCCACTGTAATTTATCTGCACCTGCTCTGCTGCTGCATGCCACGCTGGGCTCCGTGAAGGCTATCTGGGCCATTCAGAGCAGGATCCCATCAGCCCCGCTGGCTGAGTTACGGCGACAATGGCAGAATGCGGCAATGTTGTAGCAATAAGCCCCGCTGGGGATTTATTAAAGCGTCTGAGCCCACCAGTCTTTTCTTTGCTGCTCACCTTCCTGCCCCTTCTGTTGAACAACAAAGAGAGCCCCTATCTATCTACCAACCAACCAAGAGACACGCACTCAGCTTTTTTTTTGAGGCAACAGTAAAGTTGAAAGTTTGTCCTCGGCGTCTTTCAAACGTCATTAGGGCCAATGTGTTCAGAAAATGAGTCCCCTTTTCAGTGTGAAATGAACGAAATAAATACTCTTGTGATGTCGTGAGAGAGTGCGGAAATGGAATTCTCCGACTTGTGAGTTTAACCAGACAGCAAGACGTAGACAAGAAGGGATATGACTGGATTGTTTTTGAAGTACACGACCTACGGACCAGTACTGGTCCCCGGACCAGGAGTTGGCAACCTCCCTGCTTCAATCAAGAATCTTGATTCATGATTCTAGACAAATAAGAATAAACGATTCTAGACAAATAAAGCATATGTGAACACCTCCGGGGGCGCCAAACATACGGCCCGCGGGCAAGACAAATAAGAATAAACAGTTCTAGACAAATTAGCATATGTGAACACCTGCGGGTTGATAGACTCTGAATCGGGGGTGCCAAACATACGGCCCGGGGGCCAAAACCGGCTCGCTAGGGGGTTCAATCTGGCCCGCTTGCTGAATTTTGAAAGTGGTAAAAAATGCCATGACGATTCATGTCAAATTATATTCCGTTAAATATAAAGATTTTTTCAATATACTTGTACTTCTTTGCGGGAAAACAAAGGGTGAAAAATGAAATGAACTTGATGTTGTTTATAGGTAATTATGTTATGGTTGTACTGGTCCGACCCACTTGACATGTGATCGGGCTGTATGTGGCTGCTGTGGTCATTATAAACACAAAGAACATAACTGTATGCGACAAATACAACAGAAAGAGTTTTGCATTTAAAACTTTTTTTTTTTTAAGTAGAAAAAAGTTTGCAGGACAAACCAGTGAAAACGTAAAAATTTTGGGGTTTTAATCCTTTTTTTTAAAGTTACATTTAAAGGATTTAAAAAAATTAAATAAAATATATTAAAAAAATTAAATTAATATTCACATTAGTTTAAATTAGTTTTTTTAAAAATATTTATTAAAAAAAAAATTTTTTTGTGAGTAATATGTGGCTGCATTAGCAGTTTTCCATGGAGTAAGAACTAAGTAAAAGGGCTTTGGTTGCACTTGCTGTGTTGCCGTTTGATTAATTACACTTTTGTGAAGTCAAATTTGCTGCTTAACACAATTAAACCGAAACAATGAAGAGCACGAACAGGCCAATCAATATTTCGCAGCCTTTCATTAGGGCCCTGTCTTTTAGGGGGGTCACCCTCGAGCCTAAAAAGCATTTAAATGTGGATCGCGTTCCCAAAAAACCGAGTAATTATTAAGTCGAGAAAAATAGGTGCACAAAACCTTCTCTTCATTTCACCATCCAGAAATAGTTTTTTTTTAAGTTGCATTAAACAGTAACTTATAGTCAATATTTCTTTGATTTTTTTTTTTTTTTTTTTTTGATTTTTTTTTTTTTTTGATCCTGCTCCTCCTACCTAGCGTTCTATGAGCGGAAACCAAAGCGGATACCAACTTGCTTGTAGTTGTGAATACAGATGGTGCTCCACAATGTACTGTATTTTTCGGATTATAAGTCGCATCATCCAAAAAATGTATAATGAAGAAGAAAAAAAAAATATTTATATCACTCCGGGATATAAGTCGCATTAGCCAGCTAGAGTGCCCTCTAGCGGCTGTCAGTGTGAAAATAACAAACGTGTAAATTTTCAGTGGTACAGGAGTAGCAGATATTGGTACACAAGCCTAGAGTGCCCCCTAGCGGCTTTCCTGAGTATAAGTTGCAAACCCAGCCAAAGGATGGGGGAAAAAAATGCGATTTATAATCAAGAAAATTTGGTTGTACAATTGATTAAATTTGGCTAAATTTGCGTCTCTTCTGTTTTTGGCGTCGATGTTTTCACTGAGGCTGAGTATCTTTTTTTTTTTTTTTTCTTAAATTGCATTTTTGCATTTTGTATCGCAACTGCTGTTCCGGGCAGATTGAACCGGTGACAGTAAAAACAAGAGTGAGAATTAAACATAACAGCCATCATTTTCAATTTGATCATATATTCATTTAACACCAACCACCAACCAGGGGCGTGTCCCTCAGTTTGAGAACCACTGGGTTAACTAATCACTTATCAAGTGGATTTGGTTTTTATCCACTTGTGCCTAAATTCAATGAATCTTCTGTTTTAAAATGCATTTCAATTCACTTTCTTCACACAAAGTAAGCGAGTTTAAATCAGCTCTTAGTTCTGACTTTGCTCTTTTTTTTACGTCAGGAGGAAAAGCGATGTGCGTCCACTCCACCAATCTCCGTCATTTTCCCGTGTCTTGCCGTGACCCCTCCTCTTCCCCACTTCCTCTCTCATCCCGCAACCCCCCTTTTCAGAGCGACTCTCTCCAACACGCTGTGTTGTTGACGCTCGTTATAAAGCAGAACGCTCTTGTCGCTCCTTTCAGTCCGCAGCGCACAGACCCGCGCGAGCGCAACTTGCAGAACATTTCACAGTGCGCTCACGGCGATGTCTCCGCTGCTCTCGCCGACTGGATTTACCCTCCAGTAGTCGCTGTTTAGGGCAACCACACACACACCTTCCTACTCCACCTTCTACACTCCTGACACCCACCTGGAGCGGCAGCTTTAGCTTCTTCTTCTTCTTCTTCTTCTCCTCCGGTGCCAAACTTGTTCCACTGTCATGGGGCGCGCGGTGTCCTTCTCACCAGGACTGCTGAGGAAATCGGCCGCACTGTGAGGCACCAGATACACGGTGGATTTATGATCGGCGAAGCCTCAACTAGAAGCCCAGTGGGAAATTAGCGGAAGTTTGAGTGCCGGCAGGATGCGGGTGACGTGCTGGTGCGCCTTGGTCCTCCTCCTGACGCCCGCCTTTTGTCTGGTGAGTTGCCGCTCTGTCGCTCGGACGCGAACTTTGTGTTAGTGAGGCGACTTTTTGTTGTTGTTGTTGTTGTTGTTGTTTCAAAACAATTAGCGATTCACCCGCGGTTGTTACATGTATAAACACATGCACATGTATGTGCAGTATGTATGTATGTATGTATGTATGTATTTGTGTGTATGTATATATATATATATACATTTTCAATCGATGTATGTGCAGTATGTATGTATGTCTATGTATGTATGTATATATACGCGTATGTATGTGTATATATACATACGCAAATGTATGTATGTTTGTATGGATGTGTATGTATGTGTATATATATACGCATATGTATGTATATATACATACGCAAATGTATGTATGTTTGTATGTATGTGTCTATATACATACGCATATGTATGTATGTATGCATGTGTAATATATATATGTACATTTTATTTTTTCATGAACGTTATGTCCAGAGTAGTTGCTTTCCAATATATATTGTTGAAAAATATATATTTTTCACCAATATATTTTGGTGAAATATATATATATATATATATATACATAATTTTTTCCCCCTTTTTTTGTGGTCAGAAAAAAAAAAGCTATTCGTCTATCTATGTGTTTCCCAGATTTACACATATCTCGAAAACGGTCTCACGGTGGCGCCATGACCAACCAATACCTCACTGGCTTGGTCGTTGAGCCTCCTCTTCTAGTGTCTTCACACGAATAGTTGTGCAGAGTTGTGCAGTCGTCGTTGACATCTGTTAGTTCAGAACAGACAAATAAGACCCATTCATTCATGTTTAAATGAATCCGAAAAGAAGAAAAAAAGAAAGAAAGGAAAAAAAAAAGCAATATATATGTAAAAGGGCAGGGTCAATATATCTTCAGCGTTTCATATAATACGTTTACAAATGGTACACGGAGAGGAGAGTTCACGCGCACGCGCGCACAAACCGGATTCTGGATTTTCTATTTAACAGTATATTGAAATATATTTTGTTATATAAACAATTATCTAGATTATATTTAAAACAGCATTCAAACAAAAAAAGTTCTTTAAGTGTGTGTGTGTGTGTGTGTGTGTGTACGTGCCGTACCAGACTAGGCCACACACTGGTACATTTAAACAAGTCAGGAGTTTGATGGTTAAGGTCACTCTCTCCCTCTCTGTCTCCCTCTCTCTCTCTCTCTCACACACACACTCTCACTATATAGAAAGTCATGAAATAATAATAATAATAATAAAAATGACCGTGAGTGTGTCTGTGTGTTGGCGGTGAACTGGAGCTCTCCATGGTGCTGAGAGCCACAGAACACACGCGCGAGTCTACCAGGCTTAAAAATAATACTTTAACTGCAAATATTGTGTTGTTTTCAAACGTGTTTGCAAAATTATTCTTAAAACCTTCACATTTGCAAACTTTGCAAACAAACGTCACAAACATCATTTCTATTCTATTGGTAAGAAATGCAAAGACACGACTATTTTTAATTAACTGTATTTGTAATTTTATTTTTACTTGTTTGGTTATTAATCCACATATATATATATTATTTCCCAGTTTCCATCGTTGGTCTGTGTCAGTTGAGAGGTCAAAATGCGCGTTCGCTCAATCAAAACCCATTATTATGCCGTTGACGGCGGTGCATTTAAATACGACGCAGTCTTGAGTAACACAAAAAAAAAACAAAAAACGCCGTCTCCACTAAATGCCGCGCGTTCCGTGTACATCTCTGACGGCTCTAAGTCGCCTTTTTCCTCCTCAGTGTTAATGCCGTGTTTTTGTGCTGCGCGTTAACAATCGGCGTGATCCACAGCACGGGATTAGGGCTGAACTTTGACGCTTTTACTCCGCCGGGGGTCTGTGCGCGAGCGCTCTTGTCTGAGCGCCGCACTTTGACCCCCCCCCCCCCCCCCAAAAAAAAAACCCACAGCCCCCCCCTCCCGGGGGGTGGGGGGGGGGGGGGGGGGGGGGAGAGCACAGCGAAGACCATTAAACATGGCTTCACTTATTTAATTAACGCACCTCGCAGTTTTAAGCTTAAGTTTAAGTTTAAGGTTTTTTTTTTCATCGACATCAAAGATATATATTTATTTCCACTATTTAGCTACGTTAATATACGTAAACTGATAAACATAATTATGATGTTTTTTGTCAATTTTTTTTTTTATTTATTTACCTGTCTCTCTTTTTTATTTATTATTTATCTCCAATGCTGGTCTTGCTACCTGACTACTAAAATACTACTTTTAGTTTTGGACACCGTCCTTGTTTTATTTTCACTCCTTCAAAAGTATTATTGTAAAAAAAAAAAAAAAAAAAAAGAAAAGAAAAGGTGGACGGGGGGCTAAAACGTGGTGTTTGTTTGGTGATGGGGGTCCGCTTTTGAAAACTCTGCCAATGTAAAAACATGTAATCAAATGAGGTTTAAAAAGAGCCAAATATATATATTCATGTGTACACATATATATAAATATATATGTATTTATATGTATATATGAGTCTATATATGATCTATATAAAATAAACATATATATGTATGTATATATGTATGTATACATATATGTGCATATATTTTTTAAAGTAAATACATGAGGTTTAAAAAGTGCCAGAGATATTATGTATACATGTATAAATATATATTTATAAATACATGTATATGTATATGTGTGTATATATTTTCAAACCTCATTCGATTCCACGTGTTCCCTACATGAAGACATTTGGCAACAGCAGACTCCCGTCCTGCCAGGGGCCCATGGGTGCAGAACTATTTGAAGCCAGGCCGTGTCTCCAAGTCTCCTCGGTAGAAAACTTCGCTCCCTTACAAGTAACTGCGTCACCACGTCCGCCTTTTCTCCGGGAGAACAGATGCTGCGGTTTCACTGGCAGCGGCCGCAGCTTCACCGTAGAGCGTTGATATCAAACGGTGACAGGGAGGCTCGCCGTGACGAGCAGCCCGTTCTTTATCAAAACATACAACGTACATACAACGATAGCCAATTTACCGAAACGCTTAATTTCCGATATCGATACCGATTTATGCAGCCGTTTGGGTTAAAGGCAGAGGACACATTTCACGTGCAGTGGTGTGTCACGTCACAATACAAATAACAGTGGTCTGGGCCAAACGCAGGCGTTGTGTTATCGGGTTGATGACACTTACAGATAACATAATTAAGCTAGTATCTGCGATAATATCCGCCAACCGATATTATCGGACGTGCCTGTAAAAAATGCAAACTAAGTTGAGCTAAATTTAGTAGTTCAGTAGTGTAGTCGTTAGCCAGCAGAAAGCAAGAAGTCCTGGGTTCCAATCCCACATATCGCTAATAGCGCCTCCCTGTGGCAGCCTGTCTGAGTGCAAACACGTACACTGTAGATTTCCCCATTGTAGGTCAAAGAAAGGACCTAATAATTATTATTATGTAGTTTAAATGAATTCAAAAACACAGCATCAACACTCGCTCATAAACACGTGCATAATTTTTTTTTTTTAATCCTTAACAAAACAAACGGCCTTTAATCATCATCCAAGCGTCCATTTAGAAACATCCATTCCTTGGCTTCTGGATAAAAAGGGGAATCGAGAGGGCTGAAAGTCGGAGTCTCGCAGATCAAGACTGCAATTCCCTTCCACCCTCGTCTGAGTGGCCTCAGCTCTGTTATTAAACATTCAGCCACCTCGGCTTGGTCAAACTGCTGTTGCTCGCCGAGGCAGTGACAAGTGGGGAGGCTGTAGAGGTCGTGAAGCAGGGATCTAAGGGCGGAGCCTTAGATGGTTTTCAGACGTCCGTTGCTGCCCCCGCAGGCATTTGTGTTGCTATTAATGGGCATTTTGAAGAGGTTTCAGAGGTCGCCGCTTTCGAGGTCATGCAGCCAGAGCTCGGACCGACTCGGAGGACTAAGGGATCCCCGAGGAGGCTTCAGAGATTATTGAGGATTTTTCTTATTTCTTTTATTTTTATTTGTTTATTGATTTCTCTGTGTTACTAAGGATGGGGCGAGTAACGGGAATATCGGGGGAAATAACAAAAAAAAAAAAAAAAAAAAACCAAAACGACAATAACCACAAGTGGAAACATTTAGCACAGATTTGCAGAAGGAACGGTTGGCAGTTTGTAGAGAAAACTTCCTTCAAATATTTGTGTTCCGTCCCTGATTTCAGTTATATTTCCCTTGCCCACCTGTAACTAGTGATGTAACTACAAAGTTACGCAGTTACCTGTAAATGTTACACCTTGTATTAACCTATGATCCAATCAGTAATATAACTGAAATTGTGAAAAAAAAAAAAAAAGAATTCTATATGAAAATGCTAAGAAGAAGATGCTTCTTTTTTTTTTTTTTTTTTTTTTTTTTTTTTCCAGCTCCCACGGACCATACAAAATGACCAGGCGGGCCGCAATTGGCCCCCGGGCCTTGAGTTTGACACAGAGAATGACAAATTCGAAACTGAGCTGGTAGTTTGTGTCGCTTCAGTTCTGATGACCCTACACCTTTAATACTGTGACTCTCGGCAGACCGACTTAGATACTAGCCGCGTCAAGGTGACCCCGGGTTCTTGTTGCACTTGCGGCTCATATGCTGTCGGTGACCTGTGACCTGTGACCTTTGTGAACCAGCTGCTGTGTGAATTCTGCGCTCCTCTCATCTGAGCTCCGCCTCATTGGTTGGCAATCGACACCTACTTGACCGTAGATGTAATAGTTGGTGATAATAGCAAAGACGGTGGTTTGGGTGGATGAATGAAATACACCAAATACTCTGTGTTAAACTGGAATCCAAGATCAGCAGCACATACAGGCTGTGTCTGTACTGTGTGTATGTGTATGTGTGTGAGTGAGTGTGAGGTAGACATGATAAATGACCACGGCTCTCCTCTCAGCCACGCTGCGCTCCAGATTTCCAAGTGTGCGCCACAGTTCGGAGGTCAAACCCGGAGCCGATCACTGAAGGAACTCTCGCGAAAAAATCCGGCTGTCGTCGCTGACC